TGGTCAGTACCAACAGAGATAAAACAATCACATACTGTTTCCAGACTTGATTAACTATTTTACTTTCAAGATCTGACGTTTTAGATACTGTGAATATGTTCTATTGTTTAGAATTGTTGCTGCCAACGTATTATATCATACAGTGTAGAAAGTGTTATTTCCAAGACAGGTTCTTGACACTCCAGAAATAATGAGATAGAGCAAACTCTTTGTATCAGTGTGTTGCTTTTTCCATCTTGCATTCTAGTCAAAAGTCTACATCTCTGAGATTCCATTCTTACTAAAATAAGTGATAAAGTAGTCAGTCTTTCTTACACATGACAAAAATGTAAACTTAATCAGTACATCAGTGACAGCTTCTGTGTTGTACGCAGACAGAAACAGTGACAAATGTAATTCTACAAGCTTAGACAGATTGGGTTCAACTTTTTCAAATGCTGGTTGATTTATTATCACGTTCTAGTTGCTATGATGTTACTATGATGCCTTATCATTCCCAGCCATTGGGAATGATAAGGCATCATGCTTTACAAGATTTGATTGATGATGTCTATGTTTTTTTTCTTTTTCATCAGTCCTACGTTGGAAAGGTTTATGCGCTTGCTGATTGCACCAAATGTAAAATTCATGTAATATAAATCTTTACTGGATTTGTATAATGTCATTCCTTGCAATGGCACAGTTTATCATAATGATATGCATAAAGGCGTTGCAATCTGTTATCAGAGAAATTCACAGAACTGTCAGAGGATGTGAATGCTAGGTTAATTTAGGTAGTGGAAAACTGTATATAGATTGGAGGAATAGTACATACTGTATACTGGGGATCGGGCTGGGCTTTGCAAATCATAATTAACCTTTGTAGTTGGTCTCTTCAAAAAATACTGTAGTCTACAATAGCACTATGCTCTTGTAGTATAAAGACCACTACCTCTTAGACCCCGACGACGCCTGTGAGCTGCGGCAGCATGCAGAAAGGCGAACATTTTTGTTGCAGCAACAAAATGCGTGTCTCTTTTTAAGATGCGCTGTGGTGCCATTCATTGTTGATAGCACCCCAATGTACCTCGCTGCACCATGTGCTTCCATGTGCATACCATGCATGTTACCGTGCATTTTGGTGACATAAGTTTTTTCAAAAAAGCTAGGGATGCACCGATACCGGTTTTTCGAGTCCACACATCTCCATGTGTAATAAAATGAAGTAAAAGCAAGCATGTAAACATGTAAACGTCATATATAATTGCTCTGACGCAGGCTTTCTCAACCTTTTACCACATGGGAACCCTTGAAATAACTTTCAGGCTTCAGGGAACCCCTGCCAAGGATGAGTATATCTACAGTTCACGGTAGATTAGCCAGGTTGGTTAGCGGGTAGCCCCACTGCAAGTGGAGGTTTTTTTTCCCACCCGGAGATTAAATGAAATATGAAGCTATTATGGAATGCATGGATATGGTACTTTTACCATGCTGATATGTAGAAAAAGATATAAGATTAATTATCTCTAAAACTGTTTTCTGCTTGAAATATCTCAAAGATCCAGTGTTCACATCACAAGAATTCAATAAAATGCGTGAATAATGACAGGAAGGTAATAGTAGGGAATGTCAATAATTTGCAGAGTACCTGTAAAATAACATTAAATTCAGATGACTCAGAAACAAAATCTATATGTAGCAACAGCTTGGACTGTGTATCACATTCAAGTCTTTGTAATTGCAAGTGCTATCATTATTTTCCTCATATTGAATAACTTCATGCAATGAAAAGATCAGCCAGATGTACATCCTCTATTTTATACAGCTGACAGGCACTCCACAGGCAAAGAATAAAATCAGTCATTTGATTCTTTTGTGAAGGTGTCTTGTCTAGACTTTAGAGTCGATCATTACAGTGTAAAATGTGTGGCTGACTTTTATCCCTCACTTGTATTGGTTGGTTGTCTAAATAAAAAACTTCATGCAGAGGATGTGGAAGTCTATTTCATCATCTTTTTACAAGGCACTTTCATATAATGTGGAATTATACATTGCGTTGTATTGTTAATATAAAACCCCTTTACTTGTAAAACCCAAAGCTGTTTGGGTAAGGTAAATCAGATGGGCATGCCATTTTGGGCAAGTCTAGATCTAGATCTTGTTGATTCACCCATTGCAGATATTTTTGGATGTTTTGTGATAAAGATTTTTCCTGCTGTTTTCAGTTCCTGATGACTGGATCCACTGGCTCCACTATGCTGTCTTGCATGTTCTTCCTGTGTTTCCTTGTCTTTTCCTTCAACTTATAAGGGGGATGTAGTTAAAATATAACTCTCTATATATAACTATAGAAACAAAGTAGATAGATGCATCCAGGGACAGTGATGTATTCCAGACCATATACGATTACACTTCCGCTTACAGATGCGGTCGCTGTTACCTGGTCATTATCTTGACCCGATACGACGGCCGCACCTTAATGGCGTATCTGGAATTCCTGCTGCAGGAATCCCAAAATGCCCAGTGTGAATGCCGTCTTATATCATATGTCTATCTATCTATCTATCTATCTATCTATCTATCTATCTATCTATCTATCTATCTATCTATCTATCTATCTATCTATCCAGTGGCAATAATAAGTATGTGAACCCATTGAAACTAATTGTTTTTTTGCAGTAATTTTCCATAAAATGTGATCTGATCCTCATCTAAATCACAACAATTGACAAACAGAATGTGTTTAGGCTGATAACACACAAACAATTCTAATTTCTCCTGTCTTTATTGAACACAGCCATTAACCAGTCACAGTGCTGGAGCAAAAAGTAAGGGAACCCTTGGAATTAATAGCCGGTCAAACCAGCAATGACTTCAAGCCAGCACTTTTGGTAGCTCTGGATCAGACCTGCACAAAGTTTCTGACCATTTCTCTTTACAATACTGCTTCAGCTCAGACACATTTGTAGGATGTCAGGTGTGAACGGGTCTCTTGAGGTCATTCCACAGCATCTCTATGGGGTTAAGGTCTGGGCTCTGACTGGGCCGGCCACTCCAAAAGGCACATTTTCTTTTCCTGAAGCCACTCTGTGGTGGATTTACTTTGATGCTTAGGGTCATTGTCTTGCTGCATCAGACTAACAGACATCCGCCCTGACATTATCCTGTAGGATATTTTGATCAAAATACATTTTTCCCTCGATGATGGCAAGTGGTCCAGGCCCTTAGGTAACGAAGCAAGCCCAAATCTTGATGTTCCCTCCACCATACTTCACCGTTGGGATGATGTTGGGAAGCTGTGCCCTTTTTGCGCCTTACATAGTCCGGAGTATTCTTCCTGAACAATTCAACTTTTGTTTACTCAGTCCCCAAAACATTTTCCCAGTAGCGCTTCAAGTTGCCAAGGTGCTCTTCGGCAAACATCAGGCATGCAGCAATGTTTTTTTTTGGAGAGCATCGGCTTCCTCTGTGGTGTTCTGCCATGGACACCCTGCCTGTTCAAAGACTTACATATGGTAGACTCATGAACAGAGATGTTTGCCAGTTCCAGTGATATCTTTAAGCCTTTAGCAGTTACTCATGGGTTCTACTTTACCTCATTGAGGATCCTGCGTTGCGCCTTGGGAGTCACCTTGGCTGGGCCCCCACTTCTAGTAAGAGTAGCCACAGTACTAAACTGTTTCCATTTATAGACAATTTGTCTAGCTTTCAACTGATGGATGCCTAAACACTTTCAGATTGCTTTGTATCCCTTTCAGGCCTTATGCAGATCAACTACTCTTGATTATATATCTTCAGAGAGCTCCTTTTGGCGAGGCATGGTTCGCATCAGTCGATGCTTCTTATGAACAGCAATCTTTAAATGTCTGAGTGTCTTTTATCAATCAAAGTAGCTCTAAACCACACCTCCGTACTCTTTTAATTAATTGAAGGTGTGCAAGCTACTGAGTCCACTTAGCTTTTGTTGAAGTAATTAGTCTATGGGCTCACTTAGGGTGCCCACACACCTTACGATTATCGTACGATAATCGTGGGAAATCCCGCGATCGTACGATGTTCGTAAGGTGTGTGGAAGCCGTGCGACCTCTACTACTGTAAACTTACGGACATGTTTGAAAACCCGCCGAGCATCGTACGATGTTCGGCGGGTTTGTGGCATGTCCGTCCGATAACAGCCGCACGGGCCGGTGTGCGCAAGCGCACACTGCCCGTTCGGCATTGGTTGTAAGGTGTGTGCCCAGCCTTACGTTGTGTTCCAGTACTGTGAATGCTTAATGGGTGTGTTCAATAAAGACAATAAAATTAGAATTGTTTGTGTGTTATCACCTTAACCACATTGTATTTGTCTATTGCTGTGACTTAGATGAGGATCAGATCACATTTAATCACACAGTTAATTCCAAGGGTGTTCACATTTTCTTGCCACTGTATAA